ACCATTTCAGAAGAGGGATGTAACTATCTTCCCATGATAAATGAAGATAAAATTTCAATAGAAATAAATACCCCAACCAAATGTTCTCCAACCTGCTAATCCCATACCTATGCTTTCTATTGGCTGCACTCAACCAGAAGCTAGGTGACAAATAAGTTAACTGAAGCAGTCCCTGAGAATTATTCCTCTGGAATAACCCCTCCTGAGGTATGCAGCATGGAGAGGAAGCATGGAATATGGAAGGCAAAGATCAAAACTAGGCATATCCAACGAAAGATCATACTAGAACTGATGAGGTTGTGATATTATCTTATTTCTTACACAAATGTATTTATATTCTTCAATTTATCCTTGAATTTCATGCCTAAGGTGGTACTACTACTTTTCCACAAGCCAGTTTGTCTCCTCTTAAAAAAATGAATATATAATTTTGCATAAAATAGATCCTGATAGAATTCCAGGGGAAGACCATTGCAGTTAGAAAAAGGAATGCTTACTAGCTCTCTTTCCCTTTTCTGCCAATAAGATGGTGGGAACATAGTTTTAACAAAAGATTGCTAAATGAAGAGTACAGTTTTGAAAACCTTACCATGGATTTGGAAAGAGAATGAGCTAGCGGTTAACATTTGGCACATATTCTGAACAATTGTGTCAAAACTGGAATGAGTAGAATGAAAACAGCATCTGCTGCTGCTGATTTGCCTTTCCCCAGAGACTGGGCAACATTTGAACCTGTGATGAAAAGACAACAGGTGTGTCACACAGAATAAATCCCCCAAGCTCTCTGTTAGCCTTTAGGAAAACTACCAGCAAAAATAATAGAGAACCATGTATGAACTATAGGCATATATTGTAAAAACAAACAAAAAATGTATTCACTCGGTTGGCAATGGGCTACCACCTAGATAATTAAGAATGGGTTTAAAGTCAGGAAGGACAATATGTTTTAGTTCTGAGCTTAAGTTGCAAAGCACTAAAATAAAATATATTCCCATGTGGGACTAAAGACTGTGAAAAGTCAAGATGGTAGGAAAAAGAGAAGTGAATTTGCTCACATGAAAATCAACACAGACTTAGACAGTAGTGCACTCTTTCTTGTATAATCTTACGCAGAACTGGAAAACACACCACCATTGCCTTGGCATTTTTCTCTGTTTATTTCAGCTTTTATTTTAGGTTCAAGGGGTACACATGCAAGTTTGTTGCATGGGTACCTTGCATGATGCTGAAGTTTGGGGTATGGATGATCTCATTATCCAGTTAGTGAGGATAGTACCCAATAGGTAGTTTTTCAACCCTTGCACTCTCTCTCCCTCTCCACTCTAACGGTCTGCAGTGTCTGTAATTCCCATCTTTATGTCCATGTGTACTAAATGTTTAGCTGTAACTTACAAATGAGAATATGTGGTATTTGGTTTTCTATTCATGCATTAATTTGCTTAGGATTATGGCCTCCAGATACATCCCTGTTGCTACAAAGGACGTTATTTCATTATTTTTTATGGCTGTGTAGTATTCCATAGTTTATATGTACCACATTTTCTTTATCCAGTCCACCATTAATATGCATCTAGGTTGATTCCATTTCTTTACTATTGGGAATAATACTGTGATTGAGTACAGGTGTCTTTATGGTAGAACAATTTATTTTTCTTTAGGTATATGCCCAGTAATGGCTCTGCTAGGTTGAATGGTAGTTCTGTTTTCAGTTCTTTTGAGAAATCTCCAAAATGCTTTCCACAGTGGCTAAACTAATTTACATTCCACCAGCAATATATAAGTGTTTCCTTTTCTCCCCAACCTCAACATCTGTTATTTTTTTAGTGGGAGGTGGTGTCTCATTGTGGTTTTGATATGCATTTTTCTAATGATTAATTATTTTGAACACGTTTTCAAATGTCTGCTGGCCATATCTATGTCTTCTTTTCAGAAATGTCTGTTTATGTCTTTTGCCCCCTTTTAAATGAGGTCAGCTTTTTTGTTATGTTTGTTTGTTTTTTGCTTCTTGAATTAAGTCCATTATATTAAATAGATTCTGGATATTAGATTTTTGTTGGATGCATAGTTTGTGAATATTTTCCCCCATTATTTAGGTTGTCTTATTACACTGTTGATTGTTTAGTTGTGCAGAAAGGAGCTCTTAAGTTTAATTAGGTTTCACTTTTATTTCAGGTACTTGTTTTGATTGCTTTTGGGGACTTAGTCATAAATTCCTGTCAAGGCTGATGTCCAGAAGGGTATTTTCTACATTTTCTCCTAGTACTTTTATAGTTTTAGCTGTTGCATTTAAATTTTTAATCCACCTTGAATTAATTTTTTGTTGAATTTGCCGAAGATCAGATGGTTGTAGGTGTGTGGCTTTATTTCTGGGTTCTCTATCCTATTCTATTGGTCTATGGGTCTGTTTTTGTACTAATAACATGCTGTTCTAGTTACTGTAGCCTTGTGGTATAGTTTGAAGTTGGGTAGTGTGATACTTCCAGCTTTGTTCTTTTTGCATAGGATTGCTTTGGTTATTCAGGCTCTTTTTTGGTTCCATATGAATTTTAAAATAGTTGTTTCTAATTCTGTGAAAAATGGCATTGGGGATTTGATAGAAATAGCATTGAATCTATAGATTGCTTTGGGCAGTATGGCCATTTAAACAATATTGATTCTTCCAATTCATGAACATAAAATATTGTTCCATTTGTTTGTGTCATCTATGCTTTCTTAGCAGTGTTTTGTAATTGTCATTGCAGATATCTTTCTCCTCATTGGTTAGACGTGTTCCTAGGTGTTTTCTTTCATGGGGGCTATTGAAAATGAGATGGTGTTCTTGATTTGGCTCTCAGCTTAAACATTGTTGGTGAATAGAAATGCTACTGATATTTGCATATTGATTTTGTATCCTGAAACTTTACTGACATTGTTTATCAGTTCCAGGAGCCTTTGGTTCTTTTAGGTATAAAATTATATCATCAGTAAGAAGAGATAATTTGACTTATTTTCCTTTTTGGATACCTTTTGTCTCCTTCTTTTGCCTGATTGTTTGCTCTAAGACTTCCAGTACTATGTTGAACAGGATAAATGAGGGTGGCACACTTTGCTTGTTCCAATTCTGAAGGGGAATGTTTCCAGCTTTTGCCTATTCAGTATGATGTTGGCTGTGAGTTTGTCGTAGATGGCATTTATTGTTTTTAGGTGTTTCCTCAATGCCTAGTTTGTTGACTTTTTTATCATGAAGGATGTTGAATTTTATTGAATGCTTTTTCTGTGTCTGTTGAAATTATCATATGGTTTTTTTTAATTGTTTATGTGGTGAATCACATATATTGATTTCCATATGTTGAACCAACTTTGCATCTCAGGAATAAAGCCTGCTTGATCATGGTGAATTAATTTTTTATGTGGTGCTGCATTCAGTTTGCAAGTATTTTGTTGAGGATTTTTGTGTTTATGTTATCAGGCACATTGGTCTGTAGTGTTCTTTTCTTGTTATGTCTTTGTCAGATTTTGGTATCACATTGATGCTGGCTTTATATAATGAGTTAAAGAGTAGTATCTCCTCATCAAGTTTTTGAAATATTTTCAGTGGATTGGTGCCCACTCTTCTTTGTATGTCTGGTAGAATTCGGTTGTGAATCCATCTGTTCTAGGGCTCTTTTTGGTTGGTAGTGTTTTTGTTTGTTTGTTTTTTGTTTTTATCAAACTCAATATTAGTCTGTTCAGGGTTTCAATTTCTTCCTGATTCAGTCGTAGGAAGCTGTGTGTTTCTAGGCATTTATCCATTTCTTCTATGTCTTTTAGTTTGTGTGCATAAAGTTATTCATAATAATCTCTGAGGATCTTTTGTATTTCTATGCGATAAGGTGTAATGTCTCATTTATCATTTTTTATTGCATTTATATGATTCTTCCCTTTTTTGTTGTTAATCTACCTGGCAATCTATAGATGTTGTTTGTCATTTCAAAGAACCAGCTTTTAGTTCATTGATCCTTTGAATGGAGTTATGGGTCTCAGCTTTATTCAGTTCTGATTTTAATTTAGTTATTTCTTCTATTAGCTTTGAGGTTAGTTCTCATTTTTTCTAGTTCCTCTAAGGATGATGGGGTGATGTTAGATTAATTTGAGATGTTTCTAACTTCTTGATGTAGATGTTTAGTACTATGAATGTTCCTCTTAACACAGCTTTTGGTGCATCCCAGAGATTTTGATACGTTGTGTTTCTGTTTTCCTTTATTTCAAAAAAAAATTATTTCTGCCTTAATTTTGTTCTTCACCCCAAAGTCTTTCAGGAGGAAGTTGTCTAATTTCTATGTATTTATATGTTTTGAGAGATCTTAGTGCTGATTTTTATTTTTATTCTACTGTGATCCAAAAGTATGGTTGATATGATTTTGATTTTTTTGCATTTTATAGATACTTGCCTTTATGATTAGAGCATATGATCCATCATATAGTATGTCCTGTGTACAGATGAGAATAATGCATATTCTGTGGTTGATGAATGGGGCATTCTGTAAATGTCTATGAGGTCCAATTGGTCAAGTGTCAAGTTTAAGTCCAGAATTTCTTTGTTGTCTGTTTCAATGATCTAATTCTGTCAGTAAGGTGTTGAAGTTTCTCGCTATTATTGTGTGACTGTCTAAGCCTTTTTGTGGGTCTAGAAGTACTACTTTTATAAATCACAGTGCTCCAATATTGGGTGTGTATATATTTAGGATAATTAAGTCTTCTTGTAGTATTGAATTGTTTATCATTGGGTAGTGCCTTTCTTTGTCCTTTTTTACCACTGTTGGTTTAAAGTCTGTTTTATCTAGTAGCAAGCCCTGTCCTTTTTATTTTTCTGTTTGTGTGATAGATCTTTCTCCAATTCTTTACTTTGAGCTATGGGCAGTGTTATTTGTGAGATAGTTCTCTTAAAGACAGCAGATGGATGGATTTTTTTTTTTTAATCTGGGCTTGACCATCTTTGCCTGTTAAGTGGGTCATTAAAACTGTTCACATTCTATGTTCTGGGCGATGGACTTTGCATCCCAGAACCATGGCCCAATTTGTCCGTAACCTTGTGGAGAAGACCCCGGCTTTGGTGAACGCTGCTGTGACTTACTCAAAGCCTCGATTGGCCACATTTTGGTACTACGCCAAGGTTGAGCTGGTTCCTCCCACCCCTGCTGAGATCCCTAGAGCTATTCAGAGCCTGAAAAAAATAGTCAATAGTGCTCAGACTGGTAGCTTCAAACAGCTCACAGTTAAGGAAGCTGTGCTGAATGGTTTGGTGGCCACTGAGGTGTTGATGTGGTTTTATGTTGGAGAGATCATAGGCAAGCACGGCATCATTGGCTATGATGTTTGAAGAACAATCTTTAACATCTGGTCATATTTGATTTATTATTTGAGTGTTGTTGGACCATGTGTGATCAGACTGCTATCTGAATAAAATAAGATGTCAAAAAAAAAAAAAAAACTGTTCACATTCCAAGTTAATATTGATATGTGAAATTTTGGTCCTATGATGTTGTTAGCTAGTCATTCTGCAGTCTCTGTTGTATAGTTGCTTTACAGGATCTGAGGGCTATGTACTTAAGTGTCATTTTGTGGTGGCACATACTGTTCTTTCATTTCCATGTTTTAAGAGATCTCTTAAAGATCTCTTGTAGGGCTGGTCTAGTGATAGTAAAGTCTTTTAGCAATTGCTTGTCTGAAAAGGATTTTATTTCTTTTTTACTTAAGAAAGTTAGTTTGGCGGGATATGAAATTATTGGCTGGAATTTAAATCCTGAATCTCTTCTGGCTTATAAGGTCTCTGCTGAGGAGGCAATCGTTAGTCTGACGAGGTTTCCTTTTTCTACCTCTCTATCAAGATTAGAAACATTTTCCTGAACTATTGTTTTGTATAATTTATCCTTCTTTCTCAGGAATGCCAATAATTTGTAGGTTTGCTGGCTTTGCATAATCCCATATTTCTTGGTGATTTAGTTCATTTGTTAAGTTATTTTTCCTGAATTTAGTCTGACTGGGTCAATTTAAAAGACCAGTCTTAAATATCTGAAATTCTTTCTTCTCCTCAGTCCAGCCTATTAATAAAAATTTCAATGTATTTTGAAATTCCTTAAGTGAGTTGTCTATATCCAGTAGCTCTAATTCATTTCTTTTTAAGATGTTTATCTCTTCCTTCATTTTCTGAATTGCTTTAGAAATATCTTTGTGTTGATTTTCAACCTTGTCTTGAATCTCACTGAGCTTCTTTGCAATCTGTGCTTTGAACTCTTGATCTGTCATTTCTGAGTTTCCATTTTTTGTTAGGGACCACTGCTGGAGATCTAGAATGGTCCTTTGGTGGTGTTATAATGATCAGATTTTTTATGGTGCCAGAATTCTTATGCTGGTTCCTTATCACGTGAAGAGGAGTGTATTGGATAGAGTCTTTTGGTTTTACTTCTATAGCCCTATGTACTTTCTGTTGGCAGGTTTTATATTGGGCTGTGTGCTTCAACCTACAGGCCAATAGATGAATCTTGTGACTAAGAGCTAGCTGTGACACTAGCAGATAGGTATGTGCCTCAGCTTTGTTCACTGTGAGTAATTTTCTGTTGTTTCAGGTCAAGGGCTGGACAGTGGAGTGCCTAGTGCCCTGAGCTTCCTGTTCTGTGGGGTTGGGAAGACACCACTGGGCAAATCTGAAGCTCCTGTCTTGCCCATGAATGCCCTAATGTCAAGTGCAGGAACCAGTCCTGATGAGGATGGCTAGGAGAAGCTTCTGTGGAAATGTGCTAAGGTCTTTGCAGGAAGGTCAGGGGGCTGCAATAGCTCCCTGTCCTAGATAGGCAGGAGCTTGATCTGTTTCTCTATCACACCCCTGTTCCAGGGCTTGTGACTCCCAGTTCAGACACACACTGTAGTCTATCTCCAAACCACAGTGTGGCTGAAAACCACAGGAAACACCGGTTTGGTGATTCTATGGGAGTAGATTCAGGGCATAACTTCATCACACAACATGATACAGATTGCTTTATGGTCCACCTCTTCTCCAATGCAATAGTTCTCTTGAAAAGGAGCAGGCTCTATCTTTGGGCACATTGAGTGGGTGTTAGTTGTGGTGGTATTAGCTGGTTGGGTCAGTCTGAATTCAGGCACTGGAGAAAGCGGTCAGGTGCCAGTAGAGTTGCAATGGGGTAAGTGGTTTCCCAGTTTTCAGGCCCCTAGTTGGCCTACTGGACAGTGTGTATAAGTCCTGAAGGGCTGGGCTGGAGTCAGGCTACCCCAGAGTTTGGATGCTGGCTCTGATTGGAAGGGTGGACTGATCTCTGGGTCACCAGATGAACTTTTAGGCTGAAGTCAGGTGGAATGCATAGGTGGTGAGAGCCTGAGAGAATGTCACAGGCAGGTGGGGATTGAGTTTTCAGAAGCGCTCTGGACTGCAGGTGAAACTTTCAGACAGGGGCAGGGCATTCCTTGACTTTCTTTCTGATGATTTTCATGCATTTTGTCAACTTTATGGCAATGCTTACTAAACTATGCATCATTTTCAACATGTCTGCTCTCCTTATTTCAGTGTTACATCTCTAATACCTGCATGCCTAAGTACTGCTCTAAACCAAATCAATCCCTCTCCATCATAATTTGTTAACTTATACTATGCTAATTGTTAAGAATGGCTCAAATATCTCTTATAATATTTATATTGAATATTTATATTGAATATAATATATTGAATATATTATATTATTCCAAAGTCTAAAATCATAAGAAATACATATCTACTTTTATCATTCTTGGCAGCCAGGGAATAACTGACTGTTAGAAGGACTTATATTTTGTATATCTTAGACAACTGTGCTTCTTGATGATACTAATTTTGATACTTCTTTTATTGGTCCTGTCTTAAGGCATGTGGATAATCAAAAAGAATGCTGTTCCTGATTTCTGATTTTTTTATGCTGAATTCTTGCCAGCAAAATTTGACGTGTCATATACTTACCCATCTTTACCCGTTAACTGTAATGTCTTCTCAAAAATTATGTGAAATGGTTTTGTTCCCTTAGTAGATGTGAAGGGGTTAAGCTGACACTATAGAGCCAGCATACCCTCTCAATATTCCCCCAGCATTTGGGTGAAAAAAAGCATTAAATCCAAGTCACAGATTGAAAGCCAATGTACATAAAGGTTCCCCATTGTAATCTTCACATATTGCTAAAAATTAGAAATGAAAAAGAGATGTGAGGTGCAAGGTTTTTTAAGTGAAAATACTTAGATGAATTTGCCATTTTAGCCCACTCAGCCAGCCAAGAGTGAGGGTACTTTTTAGATGTTTATACATTTGTTTGCTCATTTGCTTGTTTGTTCACTTTAAAATATGCTAGATATTTGGATACACAGACACAATAAACTTCTCTCAAGAAACCTGTAGTAATTTAGACTCGTGATTCCAGACTTAAGTTCAAATCCAAACTCTGTCATCAAAATGTATGAGCATTTGGGCAAACACTGGCCTCTCTGGATGGTTCCCATATACGGAAGATCACATTAGATCATCTTAATAAAGTTCCTAGCAGTGGTATCTGGCACATTTTGAGGTTTGTTGATGAGAATTATGATTTTGTGGTAAAGAGTATAAAATCTGAAATGAGGTCATCTCTACCCCTTGTTCTTTAACAAGACAGTTTTCTGCTTTGTGTCTTCAGTTTTTTTCTGTATAAAATGAAGATGATAGTAATATCAATCCCACAGGAAAGTTATGATTACTGAATGAGTTAATATATGCAAAGGACTTAAAATAGTGCTTGACTTGTAATTAATGCTGGTTGAGTGTTTTCTATCTCTGTTAAAAATAAGAATAGTCATTCTCATTATTGTTATTACATATGATCTGTATATAAATGACTATAATACAAAACAGAAAATAGTGATTCCATTAGAGATCTCTAAATAACTATAGGATTTTTAAAAGTAATATTTTAGGCTGAGAAGTGGTAAAAAATTTCCAGGAACTATGATAGTATTAGGCATGCTAAGTTGAGAGGTCAAGAGAAAAACCTATGGATAAATAAAAGCATGTAAACAAAATGATGTGTAAACTGTGGATAGTTCCTTTACTGTACATGGGAAGACATTATGAGTGATGTGGTTACAAACATAGGTTAAAGCAGATCATGAAAGAACTTGAATGCAAGCCATAGGCTATCAATTAATTTGGTCAGCAATGGGAAATCTCTGAGGGCCTGTGGCAAGACCTATCTTGTAGAATAATTTGTAGAGCAAAGAAACAAGAAATAGAAACGCCAGATAGGAGATTTCTGCATATTTCAAGCTAAATGTACAGGAGAACTTCACTAGGTTAGAATCAAAGGGAGATGGAAAGAATGTATGTGTTGAAGTGAATTCCTAAACAAAAGAGTTTGAGTAAGGGTTAGATTGGATTTTTTAAAAATAAAGCAGAAATCAAAATTGGACTTCTCTCATGTCTTCCCTTCTCCACTACCACTTTCCGTTTTTGAGAAAAAGATACAGCTTCTATCTGAGGCATTTGAAAACTTAGATGCTTACACAAAACAGGCAGGTAACCTGGATAAATAAGGAGTGCCAGCCAGAATGAGACTATGGAGAACCTGGGGTCTCATGATCCATCTCAACTGTGAGGTGGTAGTCTTGGGGCTCCAGGCAACTATTGCTATGGAGAAACATTGCCCAGCACTGCCAGTTATTCTGAGTTTTCCAAGAGAACTGGGAAATCTGGATCTTCAAAATGTGAAAACTACCAATTTTTACATGTTGGCAACTACTTTGAAAATTTTAAAAAAGCCTCTCTAGGCCAAACAAAACATGCCTGTGGCCAAATGTAGCATGTGGGTCACCAGTTTGTAAAATCTGACTCTTGTTATCTGGCAAGGTAATGAAGCATTCTGGTTAGTCAACATTCTGACTGAGTTTCCACATACGTTATATAAGGCTTTTGAGCCTTCCAAGAATAGGAATACATCAGCTATGCTGAACATGAAAGTTCTACTTAACATTTACCAAACTTTCCCCTGTTGATTCAAACACTTATTCACTCAACAAGTAATTATTATTTAGCTATGTTTCATATGCAATGATAATAATTTAGGAATATATAAATATGAATGAGATAACCTTGACCTTAAGTAGCTCAGTTTGATGAGGGTATAAACATAGGTCACAGATAGTGAGAGTACAATCAGTTTGACAACTCGGAATCATTTAGTATCTCAATATCATCAGTAGTCATGTAAAAATATGGAGAATGGCATAGTGTTTATCAACTGATAGATATTCTAGAGGTTCTGTTCTAGAACTCTAACTTTCAATACTTGACATTTTCTCAGAAAGACCATGTCAGACTCAAGCTTCTGTACTAGCTCCTGTCATTTCTCAAAATGCTTTTTCTTAAGATACCTCTTTCAAAAATTTGGGAATGGGATCAGTCTTCCAAAGATAAATAAT